TGCAGTTAAAGCAGTACGATTGCTTTGAAAAAAAGTTCAGATCTTCTACAATATGTCAAAATAAAGAAAAAAAAATTTTTTTCAAAAAAAAAAATTATTAAAAAAAAATGTTTTTTTTTTTAAAAAAATTTTTTTTTCAAAAAAAAGTTATTTTTTGTCCAATTTATAGTTTCTCAAAAATCTTATTCTTTCAAAGTAATTTTTTTTTCAAAAATGCTAATTGTTTTTAAAAAAAATAATAATTTTTGGTACGGGAAGTTTCAGCAATTTGCCTTAAGGCACGATGCCTTAATTGCCTTAAGACAGAATTCCACTTACAGCTAGTTTGACTATGTAAATATATGGATTTGTAAGTGTTCTCATTTGTATGTTTTATGTATTTCTTATGATCAGCCTAATAAAATTTTTAAAAATTATTCTATTTGTGATTTCTATTAAATAAAAAATTTAAAAAAATCCGCAGCTCTAAAATATTGAGAATTCGCACAAATAAAATAATTGCTCAAAAGATCAAATGCATGTAAAATCTATAGAAGTGTTTGAGTATTTAAAAATGTCTGGCTAAAAATTTTACAGCTATATCCATTATTCACAAATTCCTTAACTGCACAGTTGTAAATATAGTATGTAGTGAATAAAAAAAATCATTATTATATTCGTTTATAAAAATGATTGTTTATATTAATTCATATAAAAATATGTTTCGTATAATTCAAGAATAAAAATTAATAATACAAAACTATTAATAACAACTAGCACTCTATAAAAAAAATAATATTCATAATGATAAAAATAAATATTAAATTTTCGTAGATTACTTTGTTTGCAGCTAAATGTAAGAATAAGGATAAAAAAACATAATAGAAGATGAACACTTGCAAGATTTAGTCTACAGTTTTTATAAAAAAATCTTTTTTTGCAGTAATTTATTTCAGCCATCCAATCCTAAACAGCTTGAAAAGAAGTCGGATAAAAAGGCACAGTAAAAAAGAATCAATGTGCATTTCTATCGCAGATTATAGATATTTTAAGCAAAAGAGAGGAATTCTTATGATATTATAATAAAATTTTATTTGTCAATATTAAGTTTGATATTTCAATCCAAAAAATATATTTCGATTACATATAAATACAATTAATATTTGCAATTTCATACATACACCTAATTAAAAACCGCTCACTTGTAAAATTATCGCGTGTAAATAAGAGATATAATATGGGACTCAATATACTACCTTACGGTATACCGCATTCTATTTTTAAAACTCACTTATTTTTTATGAAAATTTTTTGATTATATAATGTAAAATTAATTGAGACTATTTGAAAAGTATAATATTTTATAAGCAAAAATATTTTGATCAATATTGAAATAAAACAATATTTTTTTTAAACACTGAACAAATTTTACTTATGTAAACTACGGATTTTATTAGCGTCCTTGAAATGAAATTAAAGTTAACTAAAACTTTAATTAAAACTTAATTCTTATAGTCGTTTAACCACAGTCCTTTCATGTAATAATTTTTACTATATCTATGATGATGTTTTAATAATAGCACAAAGAACAAAGCACACACTTGCTCATAACCGATATAATACTGGATATACGAGTAAATACATGGACCAAAAAAAATGCACATATTTTATATATACAAGCATATTATAATATATATATATATATATATATATATATATATATATATACTGCTAATCCGACGAGTTACCGTGGCTTAATACTTATAATGGGATGAATTAATTTTGTACTCAGATTAACGCAATCAAGTTAATTCTATTCCATTACTAATATGAACATATTTTATCCAGTTGAGAACATACAGAATTGCGAATGAAACATCACACCAAAAAGGTTGTGATATTTAAACGATTTTTTCATTAATTACATAGAGATTTTATTTAAAATACACCTATATAACCTTCTTTTCCTTTCTACTAACATTCTATAACAAGAAAAAATGAACGTGGTTATATTTGCAAGAGATTATGCTGTATTACTTATAACAACAAATGTTAAATTGTTAAATTTGTTAATGTTTGAAAAAAAATTGTTATATATTTTCTAAAATTGCAGCCATTTTCAATTTTTGTACTTGAAATACGTACAAATTTGGTAGACTAGGTACAGTTGTGCTAGAGTACGATAGTGATAGTCGTCACAAAAACTAAACTATACTGATTTTGAGATAAGGTCCAAATGGAGATGGATGAAGTACGTTTCTTCGAACATGTTCCCATTATTGCATTTGTCTAAATAAATTATTTCGGTCATAACGATGACTAGTTTTCAAAAGTGCGTTGGGTACCGTGGTTGCACAAATTTTGTGGGTCATGGAGTACCCGCGTCAGGGCAAAGCGAAAGCAAATAGACAAAAAATTTCGTGAACTGTACTGGCTAATTGGAAAAAGCTCTGAAATGTCATATGAGAACAAGATCCTAATACATAAAGCTGTAATAGTACCAATATGGACATACGGTATGGAGCTGTGGGCAGTGAACGGAGCCTGGTATGTCTCCAACGAAACAATTCACCGAGATCTTGTACAGGAGATTATCAAAGAGAGAAGCATAAAATATCATCAAAAAAGCAAATACCATCCAAACACACTAATAAAAGATCTGCAAAAACAATTTCCCATCAGAAAACTGAAAGGAAAGTGGCCGCAAGATAAATTGACAAGTAATATATTTATGTAAGGAAAGATCTCACTAGGAAAAATTCTAAACGTCATGTACCTACCAGCAAATAACCTTATTGAACCAGAGGTTCAGATTGGTTGTGAGAAATGAATAAATAACAAAAAATGTGGATGCGGTAAAATGTTTTATAAGCCCTCAAGTATTGGCATTAATCAACTCTGAACGTTTCTGAAAGCAATGTTCACTCATTTGAAACAAATTATATAATTCTGTGCACAGTAGTTAGTTGAACTTACTTATGTTTTTCTTTAATTGACTCAATGCAAAGAATATTTAAATGAACAGCATAAACGTAAGCTTATTAAGCACCTCTTTAACATTTTTGCATGAACAAGTTCAATAAAATCATTCAATAGTGCTGTTTCACATATGATAATAGGATGGACTGAAAAAAACACATTAAGAACGTTATTGGATTCGCCGTGCGATCTTCATCAAGTCTCTCGTTGATCACTTATTGAATTTTCATCTCAAATAATTTTAATTGATAACATTAATTAGAAATATCAGGTATTACAAGATTGACCGCTTCATGAAGGATTTCAGTTAATATCCTTTCCATTTCAGTCTCCGTCTTAAACTCACTTGATATTTGTATTGTTTTTGACTCGAACTCTGACTTGCGTTTTGAACGCAAAGTTTTCCATTAGTTCCATGATTGTATAAACTTGGAGTACGTGAGAATTATAAAACTGGCTATTATATGTGTGATAACATGAGAAATCGTAAGTGGCAGAAACTTTTGTGTGAGACGGATTTATTCTATTCGTCAAATAAATAAGTTTGGCAGTTTATAATCTATTTACTAATATGTTGGAAAATCTATAAACCTAGTTGTATAGCAATTTTGTTATCCAGCACAGTAAGGCAGTTATTCTTCCAAAGAGTTCCAAAAAAATCATAAAATTGATGACAATCTATGAAATGACGAAATATGAGTAATATATACTACAGAAATAGTTAGATAATGAATAAAAGCTTACGACTGATCAAGTGATTAGAGGTTTCTAAAAATAATATTTACATAATTCAATATGATTCACTTAATTACCACAGTATGACTGAGTTAGCAATTTTGTTATCCAGCACTGTAAGGCAGTTATTCCTCCAAAGAGTTCCAAAAAATCATAAAATTGATGACAATCTATGAAATGACGAAATATGAGTAATATATACTACAGAAATAGTTAGATAATGATAAAAGCTTTACGACTGATACAAGTGATTAGAGGTTTCTAAAAATAATATTTACATAATTCAATATGATTCACTTAATTACCACAGTATGACTGAGTTGTTCCAACTAATTGAGGATAATTATATTTATTACCAAATAAAAAACTAATTACTACAATATAATAAAATGCAGTTTTTGTTCTTAATATTTTTAGAATTAAATTTATAAAAGCAATTTTGATAAACAATTTGAATGCCTTTTCAATACTATTTCCAGAAAAAATACTAATTATATATATATATATATATATATATATATATATATATATATATAATATATATATATATATAATTTCAAAATTTCCAATTTCCAAGTTTGTTCAGAGTAGGTATAATATAGAAAGATAATAATCTTAATAAAATTGTAGGAGTTCTCTTTCAAATGTCCGAATAAAACTCGAAAACGGCTGAATCGATTTGGCCAGTCTTAGTCTTGAAAAATTCGTGCCAATCCAGAGAAAGTCCAAAACGTGAGATATTATTTCAAATCCGCGTAGAAACTTTACGTTTTTAATTTGAAAATTTTTGTAGAAGCGTCATTTAAATAAAACAATGGGCGGTGGCAGTTTTTGTTCTTAATATTTTTAGAATTAAATTTATAAAAGCAATTTTGATAAACAATTTGAATGCCTTTTCAATACTATTTCCAGAAAAAATACTAATTATATAGATATATATATATATTATATTAATATATATATATATATAATTTCAAAATTTCCAATTTCCAAGTTTGTTCAGAGTAGGTAAATTGTAGGAGTTCAAAAACATCTGATTAGATATTTTTTTTAAATTCACATAAAGAAGTGTTCTAATTAAAAAAAATAAAGAAAACAATTCACTAAACAATAATTTCATAGGAAAATAATAAAACGTTTAGTAGAAAATATACAAATACACGAATAAGAATTACCACAAATGATTAATAAATTTTTTAAAATATGTAATTAAGCAACTAACAAGACGTTTAAGTTTCATTACTATTACTACAATAAAATAATAAAAGATTACTAATAAACATTTATATAAAAAATTTAACACTTACTTGATCGTTGATTCTTAATGAAATACAATTGTAAGCGCTCCTTAAATGTGTTTTCGTTTACATAATATTCGACACGAACCCTGAAAATAATAATTGTATGGTTAAATATGAGTAAATATTAAAAATTTGTATCAAAAAGTTATAGTTGATTGAAACAAAAATTATGACATAAAAATTGTAATATCCATTACCTAAAAGTAATTTATTAAATCGAACAAAATAATTATAGAATAAAATGAAATCCAGGTTATATAAAATACATAGCATTTTCATAATATATGTATATATATATATATATATATATATATATATATATATATATATATTAGATGGTAGAGTCTTGGATTTGTAAATATTTGTAGAGCTTCGAACAAAGGATGCAAAAAGTAATAAAAAACAAAAAAGTTTTTTAAAAAACCACTTATTTATTTACTGTCGTCGTTTCGGAACTAGGTCCGTTCCATCTTCAGAACATCTGTCAAAAAGCATAATCTTGATAAGATTATAGGAAGCAAACAATAGGTTTAAGAAAAGCAGAAGATGATGGATTTTTTTATATAAAATGAATAAAATTGTAGAAAAAATAATGTACAGAAATATGACAGAGTATATGTATATATATATATATATATATATATATATATATATACATATATATATGTATATATATATGTATATATATATATATGTATATATATATATATATCTAATATATATATCTATAATATGTAATATATATATATATATATATATGTATATATATATCTTATATATAAAAATGGAGCTCTCTTTCAAATGTCCGAATAAAACTCGAAAACGGCTGAATCGATTTGGCCAGTCTTAGTCTTGAAAAATTCGTGCCAATCCAGAGAAAGTCCAAAACGTGAGATATTATTTCAAATCCGCGTAGAAACTTTACGTTTTTAATTTGAAAATTTTTGTAGAAGCGTCATTTAAATAAAACAATGGGCGGTGGCAATTTCGTGAAATGTCAAACGCTTTTGACAGATGATGTTTAATTACGTTTAATAGGATGTTTTACGCTAATAAATATTATTTATTTATGATAAATTTGTAATAAGTAGTTTTGTTTGTAGTTTTCTTTATATACAAAAACTTAGTAAACGGGCGGCAAGTGTTACTAGAGACTCACAATATAAACTTTTTTGATATGTTAATATGAAATGCACTTTTTGGCATATTTTTTCTCAAACACGGTGCTCTGAAAGATCTCATTTGTATAATTATATACTCATTGGTATTTATAAAACATTTACTATATATATTATTTTTTAATTATGTTATTTCAATTCAGAACCTAAATTTGGCATCGATCAAAGGGATATTTTTCGAATAGCATTTTCCCATTTATAATATCCTAGAATTTACCGAAGAATAGATAGTAATATATGAAAGTTCAAGGTTGAAAAATTCTACCACCGACGTGTCAAAAACCAATAAAGTTAACCATTGTTTAACAACAATATTTGAAAGTAGAGGGAAAATGATGTATAACCAGCTGTAACCTTGATTCTTATGACTTTGCTATCGGAAGATAAACGGTAAGCTTTGAAAACTCATAATAAAAGTAATTTCTTCCGTTGGTAGTTTTTAGCATTAGTTAAAAATTAATTATTTTGTAAAATACCTTTAAAATTAAAATAAGACATTGAATTTGTTTGCCACCTGGCCGTTCCAAGTCTAGATAACAAATTTTTGAAAGACAGCAAAAAAGCACATTTTTACAATGATGAAATAGCTGGCAGTTTTACTGAACGTAGCCAGATAATTGTTCGAGTGAAATGTGTTATCTGTTGTGATATAGTTGGTTTGATTATTATAATATAATAAATATTTGCTCAAAGTCATATTGGACTTTTACATTTACTTTAATTCATCGAATGTTACTTTAAACTTTTCAAAAAGCAGGTCAAAGAAGAAATACTTAATTCATTTTCTATCTCTCCTCGCAGAAATTTGAAAATTTTCTATAAGCTCAGTAGTATTATTTAGTAGTATACACAAAATTCAGAATCCAAAAAGAATCTGAAAAACTTGAAACGTAATCAATAAGTCGAAAGACCAAAAAAGACTTGGATTATACCACGTTTTCTATAGAAAGTGTATAAAACTTTTATAATGACTCATTTTATATAGCATTCAAACAACACATCCTTATGCACAAAAAGTATTAATATTTTTGATTCTCTTGAAATTGTTTAGAATATACCTTACTTAGCAAAACAACGTTTGCCGGGTCAGCTAGTATATATATATATATATATATATATATATATATATATATATGTATATATATTCAATACTGTAGGTGATATATTATCGCACGAGGCTATCAAGTGTTAAATTGTTAAAATCGTGTAGTTAATATTATAGATAAACTTAATTTCATGGCGGTAATATTCCGCTTTTTGACTATACATGAGAGATATGGATATTAGTAGTAAATAATAAAACATAAAAGTACTTTCAACAAGATATATAGCGACATTCAAATCCATATGGTGAAATCTAGTGAATTGGCACAGAAATAACGTATCGCCTTATATTACAATACGAAATATTTTCAGCAAAATCTTTATGTAAATTTTGTTGGGCAATTTCATCATGAATTTAGTATGTTTACTCCCTTGATACTTCCGCCTTGTTCATCTTAATTCCGGAACACCTAAAATGTTATCAAGGGACCTATCCTCAAAAATTCTACCCGAATCTACCCATAAATTTGAAATTCAAAAGGTCAACGTGGACTACGCTCTATCACCCCATTAAATACTATGTAATAATATATATATATTTATATATATATATACATTGTCAAAGTTCATGCATTATTTTGATGAGAAATTTTGGAATTTCAAAAAAAATCGATTATAAAAAATACCTTTTCGAAAAATTTTATAGCAACGCTATATTTTGTGAAAATCTCTCGAATATTTATAAATGTATAAATGTATAAATCTATGTATTATATATACATACACACATACATATATATATATATATATATATATATATATAAGCTTACGAATTGTGAAATAATTACGCGATAAAAGTTTCATCATTAAAAGTTTTTCAAAAATGATGCGACATTGTTATCTCTGAAGTGATTCAAATAAGTTGATTACAATTGTTCATATATTTATAGATTTTGTTCATAGGTACACTGTATACAATTGTTCGTATGAAAATATGCAGTCAAGCGAGTAGAGGAAACTGGATACTGTTGTGAAACCTTTTTTGGAACAGAAATAATTTTGGTGATTTATTAGTTAACTGGGAGAAAAGTAAAGTATAATATATAAATATAATAAAGTATAAATAGATTGTAATGTCTTCGTGGAAATACTGAAATAGTGTCCTTAAATACGCTGTATTAATCATAAAATCTAATCAGACACAAAAAAGGAGAGTGTCGTCGTAAATGTCCATACCACCAGGACGATTGTGTCAGGCATGAACATAGGTTAAAAAACTTATAGGTATAAACACCAAAATGATTTATAACTACTTTTATGGTCTGAAATATGTAACATAACACAACATAATTATTTAAACAAAACTAGCTTTATGAATATAACAATATGTAATACAACAAAACATTCTTTTAAACAAGAAATCTTTCTGAAATCATTTTTCTTCTCGTATTGAATTTTTCTTTCAGTTTCTCTCTCATAATTTCTTAGTCAAGTGAGATTTTTATTTATTTGTTCAATATTCGCCTAAAAAAGACAATGAATACATGTCACAACCGTACCTACAAAATTTGTCCCAACTTTACCCAACGCACCCTTTTGGATACAAATCAACGTTAGGACTGATCTAAATTAACTATACAAAAACTAATTGCCGGTAATTTACCACTAATGTCCAACTTACAGCAAAATAACAAACAAAGTAATCTATCTGTATACAAGAAACAGTTATTATTAATAGAAATCGAACAAAGACTTTTTTTAACTTTTTAAAAGCAATGCGGTCTACAGACCATGCTAATGTAGGGCGCCGACTCAATGCAATGACGAAAACTTGTTCGAACAAACATGCTTCATCTTTCTCGCTTTGCACCCCATCTCAAAAATAGTGTAGTTTAGCTCTTATGACGACTGTCACTACCGCACTCTGATACAATCGTACCCAGCCTCCCCTATTTAAATTTTTTGCGAATGAGATGAAAAAAACACCAACTATCCATCAGTGTCATTTTATATACTAACAAAAAGTTGCAAGATCTTTGTCGATTGAATTATTATTTTTTAATTAAATTATAATAAAAAAAAGTGAAAAAATTCTTAACATTTCTCTATATAAAAGTTCTCTCAACTACATAAAGAAATGTCCGCTATACAAATGTTCAAAAGCACATTACATAATTAATTCGTTATTCGCATATTCTGGGCAAATATTGGATTATTATTAAAATTAATATTGCGGTTATTATTAAATTAAATAATAAGGATATAGTTGAAATTGTTCATGCAAGGTGAATTTCATTGTTAAATTGAAATATAAGAAATAATCTGATTTTTTTAGTTATTAACGAAGATGTTTACCATTCGTCATTTGTTTTCTCATTTTTTTTTAAATATTTTTTCATATTTATACGTATAGCAATAAAAATTCAAATAATTTAAATTTTTGTACTTTTCTAAAAATAAAAAGTAAAAAGAAAATATAAAATCATAGAAAATACATATTATTCAAAACAGAGGAAAATTTAAAATAAAATAAATTTGAAAACATTTTACAAAATCTGAACACAACAAAATCAATCACTATTTACGATAATAATAATATAATGTAATTATCAAAAAAAAAACAAAAGTAGTCTTTACGTTTCTATTATTGCATTATCAAAATTTATTAATTAAACAGATTTAAAGTTTTATATATCGCCTCATTGTTTGATAACAAAATATTTAATCCCAGTTATACAAAGTTACGGAATGAAGTGACAAAAAGTTGCCACTTCGAAATCATTCGTATTAATCAAAGATGCCAATGTAAATTTTACGAATATTGATAAAGAAGTCTCTAACTTTTGTCTACATAATAATTCAAA